ATAAATAAATAAAACATCTCTGTAGCTGTAGCTGATAACAAAGTAACAATGTGCTATTATGCTATTATGGGTGAAACGCACTTTAATGCGCTTTACCACATTGGCGCGCTACACAGGAATGATTTGTTTTCGATATCGATACGATATCGTGTCATCGATGCCACTTTAAGCTGCCGTTTGAGGTGCCACCCTCGTATCGTGAACGATACCTCAAACGACAAGTGGCATCGAAACGATATCGTATCGATATTTTCTTTAACCGTAGTGTAGTTTTACGAATCTAAACCATCTAAGTAAAGAGAGAAAGTGTCCAGCTATATTTTTCAAATATGGCGGAAATAATGAAAGCAGCACCATATTACAACCTACTGACTTAGTGACTATTCCGAAAACATAACTTTCATTCGATGGTTCTGATACTTACCCGTAAGTGTAAAAATCTTGTACCACAACATACTTTTACCAACGATGTGACCGTAGTCTTGATTCTGATGGAAATCTCCCCTATTCTCAGGAGCAAACGGCTTGTATACCATCTTTTTAAGGTTCAACACGACAAGCTCCGTGGCAGGCAAAAGCTTTCTGCCGCCGACCTCATAGGTCAGGTATCGGCACAGTGCCCACAGCATACTTGCTAGATTAGATTAGATTGTCAAGTGATCAAAAAAGATCAAAAAGAAACTCAAAGCAGCAAAGAACCAAAGTAGTGGCCGGTGTACGTCAAAGGACCCTGCAAATCGCCCAAATGCAAAACCGCTCGGCACATCGATAGTTGGGACCAAAACAAACGTTTTGACCCGCAGAGGCAAAAAAAATTTCCCTTAGGAAAAAAGTTATAAGGGGTTAAAATTAACATGGCGCCTTACGGGGACTCCGGGTAGGCAACCCGCAGCACACGCCCGGCCGTTTTTCGCTGTTCGCGAGTTTTTTTCGGCGAAAAACCTGACTTAGAGGTAAAGTATATTAACAAAAATTGCAGGAGCGGTACAGAAGAGTGTACTGAAGACTCTCACGTTGAGATATTGTCAAAATATTGCCTGTGAGGGCGTCTAGAAGCCAGCAAAGTCCAAATTCCCGGGCTTTGAACACAGTTGTGTTCAAAGTCGTTCAACGTCCAACCCATGCACCCAGGGTGCAGTTCTTACGTACTAAACTGTCAAGTGAAGTGTGCTGAACACGCCCATGGTACCCGTTTGGACCTCAGACCTCTGGAAATTAATTTATTGAACATTTAGTCAAGCCGCGCAGCGCTTGGCGCGCCGGCTCGCTCGGGCCCGGCCCCGTCCGCTAGGATGGCTGGCCCTGCCCTGTCATATTGTTGGCTCCCGCCCCTCTGTTACCCCGATTGGCCCGTTTCTCGGGGTTTTGGGGAGCTTCGGCATGTGAGAGTTTGAATCAAGATCCAGCCCGGCTCCTCTCACCGTATATGACAGGTACGGGCGTAAAAAACATTTCTTGCACCCTTTAGTAAGTATCCCCTGCTCGTGCGTGTGCGTGGGCTTACATCGTAATGTGTCACACCCAGCACGATGTTCACCCCGACGGGCTCCCCCTCCAAAAAGAGGCTGAAGTTTGCGCCTTCTGCCGTCTTGGGGGAGAGCAGCAGAAAAGCAACCCCCCAAATCTGATCTATTTGTCACTAACGTAGGTGACACCATTGTGACAGCTGAAATCCAGCATGGTCGCAGAACGTCGCTCTCCGGCGTGTCCTGTGGGGACATGGAAGAGGCTGATGGTCGTCTGATTCTCCACCTGGCGGACGCCGTACAAAATGGCTGCAAGAAGGCGGTCATTAGAAGTGTAGACACCGACGTTCTTGTTTTGGCCATATCTTTCTGCAGTCAGCTGTTCACACTCAGTCTCGAACAATTATGGCTCCACCTCGGCACTGGGAAAAGTCAGAAATTAATACCTTGCCACACAATCGCAAGTGCTCTCGGCCACGAGAAATCGATAGCACTCCGTGGCTTTCACGCATTTTCCGGGTGTGATTTCACCTCAGGTTTCCGGGGGAAAAGAAAAGTGTCGATGTGGTCAAATAGGGAATCTTTCCCGGAGGCAACGAAGGCATTTTTCAAAATTTCGGAGACAATACAGCGAGAAGAAATTGACGACAACATTATACAAATTTTAGAGAAATTCGTCATTTTGTTGTATGCAACAGACTTCCCTGCCTCTTCACTCGATGAGCACCGCCTTCTTTTGTATACCAAAAAAGGCAAAAAACTACAAGATCTGCCGCCAACACTTAATGTCCTACGGTGTCACATCCTTCGCAGTGCATATGTGAGCGGGCAAATATGGGGCCAGTGTGCATGGAAACACTGGAAAAACAAAGGTGTGATGTCCTACCTTTCCAGGGGCGTTAAACTTTTTTACACTGTTATTCAACGAATGTGACGTCACATTCGTTTCGATGTGAATCTTGTCACGTTCGTTATAATATTGTGTCACATTCGTTTGAACGTGAATCTATGATCAAATACCCCCTTGATAAACTAGTTCATGTTGAAACAAATGTGACACAATATTCCAACGAACGTGACACGATTTACATTGAAACGAATGTGACGTCACATTCGTTGAATAACAGTGTAGGGGTGCTAAAGAGTTTATTTTCACTTTCTTCAAAATATTTTCTATATGAGCAAACCAATCACATTTTGAGATTCATTATCGCATTCCTCGCAAAATTCCGCGTCAAACGAGCCTACATGTGATAGGGTTCAGATAAGCGGTCAGCAAATGAAAAGCAAGTCAAAAAGTACAAAAAACGAAATTAATTTATGCCATTTTTGAACAGAACCCCATCATATGTAGGCTCGTTTGACGCGGAATTTTGCGTAGATTACGAAAATAGGTCTCAGAATACAATTTTGTTCCATGGGGAAGAAATATTTCGAAAAAACATAAATTGTAATGCCTTTGGAACTTTAACGCCTTTTAAAGGTAGGATGTCCTACCTTTGTTTTACCAGTGAAGCCCCCACTGTCCCATCACCTGTCGGTTGGGGCTGGACTGAAAAAGGGGAAAAACTGCAAATAGAGTGGAGCACCATCCCGCCCATTTGGGAGGCAGCGAGGAAGCTGCTAGCTAAGTGTGGCTGCACAACGGGCTGCAGTGGGAAGCGCTGCATCTGCTGGACATCTAGGACAGGGTGCACAATATTCTGCAGGTGCACGGGCTGCCAGAACGAAAAACCACCGTAAGCTTAACGTAAAACGCCTGTACATTTTCCGATTAACACAATCTATTTAGCCATAATCTTTACAGAGAGCCATCACTACAGCCAGAGGCCGACGATCAAGATGCAGATGATCCTGATGCAGTAATCCAATCTACATCCAGATAATTTACATAACAGTCAGTAAGAAAATGGGCATATTTTACTCATTTCACTAGAAAAACATAGGTGCTATCCAATACCTTTCTACAGGCGTTAGTAAAATAGTGCCTTTACAAAGGCAATTGTACAATAGCACATTTAAAAGGAGTTACATAGCACATCTGTTTTTCCGTGTTAACACAGTGATTACTACACATTTAAAGCTCATGAACATTTCTGTTCATAGTTTACTGAGTTCGGTGTATGTGCTCCGCTTACGCATTTTTTAATACCCCGGAATGAACAAATTTGTTCATACCGGCGCATTAAAAAATGCGTAACCGCAGCACGTACATAAAACTCAGTAAACTATGAGCAAAAATGTTCACAAGCTTTTAGTGTGTACGATAGTGCTGTTCCCAGAAAAGGCGCCAAAGCTGCAAGCAGAGACGCTGCACCGTGCACGCTGGACCAACCACATCAACCCATTCCACTAGACCAATAGATAAGATCAATAAATAAAAGAAGCTTCACACAGTATACTCTATAATAGCCACCTTTCCTTGCGGGGTGAACTGCATGAGACAGCCTCGGAGTAGTCCGGGCTTGTGGGTGCTGTGCTGCAGCTAGCCCAGCGGACGGGGCCGGGCCCGAGCGGGCCGGCGCGCCAAGCGCTGCGCGGCTTGACTAAATGTTCAATAAATTAATTTCCAGAGGTCTGAGGTCCAAACGGGTACCATGGGCGTGTTCAGCACACTTCACTTGACAGTTTAGTACGTAAGAACTGCACCCTGGGTGCATGGGTTGGACGTTGAACGACTTTGAACACAACTGTGTTCAAAGCCCGGGAATTTGGACTTTGCTGGCTTCTAGACGCCCTCACAGGCAATATTTTGACAATATCTCAACGTGAGAGTCTTCAGTACACTCTTCTGTACCGCTCCTGCAATTTTTGTTAATATACTTTACCTCCAAGTCAGGTTTTTCGCGGAAAAACCTCGCGAACAGCGGAAAACGGCCGGGCGTGTGCTGCGGGTTGCCTACCCGGAGTCCCCGTAAGGCGCCATGTTAATTTTAACCCCTTATAACTTTTTTCCTAAGGGAAATTTATTTTTGCCTCTGCGGGTCAAAACGTTTGTTTTCGTCCCAACTATCGATGTGCCGAGCGGTTTTGCATTTGGGCGATTTGCAGGGTCCTTTGACGTACACCGGCCACTAATGATGTTCTTCTTGACAGGCCTAGGGCAATTAAAGAAAGAGAAGACTATGAGAGTGATCAGTGGTTGAAAATCACTCTTTCTAGATACAAGCTATCAGTCGAATCCTCTGATTGTTGTTTTAACACCATAGATGGGAAAGTTG